GGCTGTTCATGCACAATATGAACGCTTTTATCGAGCACGTTCTTGCTGTCGACCCTGACAAGATGAACAGTACGCCGTTTGATGGTCTCTTTGGAAAATTCAGCGCTTACTTTGGGATGGTAGAAACACAGGGTGGAGGAACGTTGCACGCACATTTTCTCGTGTGGCTAACTGCAGCGCCACCAAATTGTGATGCGCTTGATCAAGCAATGAGCGTGCACGGAGAGCAGCAATATGTTAAAGATCTCCAGGCGTACACTGATAGCGTCATATCGACATCGCTCTCGCTGAATATCGACGAGTCAACGTGTCAATTCTGCGATCAGAGTTACTCCAATCTTGAGCCGCTCTCAATACCTGGCGAAGCATTTAAGAGAACAGACCGACGCTGCAACGACGAAAGTGCGGAGCCGCTACTAGTCCGATGCTCAAGGTGCAAGACCGAGACTAGTTCACAGCACGTACTGCGACGTGTTCTCTTGGACCATAGACCCCCTTCATGGCCACCTTCACGACGTGAATATACTCCAGAAGAGCTAAAGACCATTGTAGATATTGAAACACCACGCCGAGGCTCGGTCGCGAACGCAAAACAGGCGATATTTTTCCGTGATTCGTTTCGCGCTGAGCAAGGTGATGAGCCAGACTTACAAGGGGGGGAGCAGCGATGGATGAATCGAGCTCCTCGATGCAAAGCGCAACACGGAGATGAAATATTCGCTGACGATGAAGTGGCCCGGTCGTTTCAATTAATGCCCCCATCACTGGACGACTTGCGGTGGTCATCACGAATGTTTGCATTTGCAGTATCAAATGCTTGTGTTCCTGTTGAATGTGCATTGGTGGTCCCATGTGGGGAGTTGTTTCAAGAAAAGTCGGTCGACAACTCCAGATTCGTGTAGATACGGGTTCATCTGACCGCCAGTTGCTCAAACAACATTACTAGAGACGGTGTAGTCATCGCAAGGCGTCCAGCATGCGAGTACGTGAATAACTATAACCCTATCCTGATGGCAGCGTTCAAGTCAAATCACGACGTACAGGTAATGGTTGGTGGCGCCACCGCACTTTTGCGGATCTATTACGCTACCAAATACGTGACTAAACGACAAGAACTGGTAGAGTCACTGACTGCGGTTGCACTTGCTGCGTTTCGAAAGCGACAAACACGTGAATTACTCCATGAAAGAAGACAACTAGACCGCGCCAGTGTCGGGCGTCGACGTGTGGCGTCTCTCGCATTCGCGTTATCAAACCGACGAGAGATCGCCGGCCCTCTTGCCGCCTTCTACCTGTTGCGAGGATCCTGCTGTTATGCAAGCACACAGTGCGCAAAACTGCCTTTGATAGATATTATCAAGGAGTTGTTGCAAGGCGAAGTTCACACGTGTGACCTTGTGCACCTCTCAGAGGGTGAATCAACAGCATTGTACCGGCCAGTCTCGCTCTTAGATGACTATCGATATCGGCCGATTCACTTGGAAGAAGTTTGTCTCTATGAGTTTGTCATGAAGCATTTTCGCCGCAAACAGACTCAGTCAACCCCAGTCACGGCATTATTTCAACCTGGGCATCCCTTAGCGAACACACACTGCGTCAGCACGCACCTCAGTGAAGTGATTCCAGTTATCGGAGTTCATTTGCCGTACGAGGACTCAGAATCGCCCCCAGATCTCGTATTGAAACGACGCCAATATGTCCTGACACTTTTCAAGCCATTCCGACAAGTGTCAGACTTGGTGGACGGCATAACCAGCGAGACATCGTGGTTAGCAGCATACGAACATTGGATGCCAACTCGTTCTAGCTTTATTTGCAAAATCATGGCGAATATAGACGACTTTCGACGCGCCGAAAGGCAAGCCAAAGAGGTCAATGTTGACGAGGAGGAAAGTCAGGAAAATGCCGAAGAGGAAGACGCAACTGGAACACGTGAAGAAGTTGATCAGATGGCTGAAGTCAATGATGAAATCGTCGACACTAACGTTGATACATGTATAATATGTGACGACGACAACGTCGCGCATGGAGACGAGCTACCCGTTTTCCCGACGTTAAGAAATGAGAACAACTCCGCGACCGAAATGTCTGCTTTCCAGAACTTGATGGCACCTCCTGCTGAAGCGACTGCTAGTACATTCGCCTATTTACACCACTCCGCGACGACAGAGTATCCAACATTCACGATTGAAGAGTTCAACCAGTGGCTCAACTCATCATCGACAGATGAAGCTGCGCCATCGGATCATCGTCTCGATGAGCGACCGACAGAGGTCATTCAACTCATTCTTAGCGCATTGGAACCTGTCAACACGAGGCGATTACCCAATACGTATCCAGTGGACCCAAACGTTCAGCAAAATTACGCTTCGATTGCCAGCATCTCGCACGCGTTCACACTGAACCACCGGCAACACATCGTGTTCGCCACTATTGCGGCCGCACTACTTCGTCGCTTTCTCAAGCAAGAACAGGGAAGCGTCGGGATCGACAATAGCTATCGCAATCGTGATTATCAGACACAGCTCCGCGAAGAGCAGCTACGTATGTTCCTGGGCGGCGCCGGAGGCACAGGAAAGTCCAGAGTCATTGATGCTGTTACCGCCTTCTGTAATAGCTGGCGCCGCAAAAGCTGTCTTATTAAGACGGCATTAACTGGGAAAGCCGCCAGTCTGATCGGCGGTCGAACTTTGGCCAGTTTTCTAATGCGGATCCATCACGCAATCCAGAACAGAACATTTGCTCCTCTCGACTTACTGGTTATTGACGAGGTATCAATGATGACCAAGCCCGAATGGCTAAAGCTCGACAAACTTCTTCGGCGCTACAAGCAGGTGCCACATGTTTTGTTTGGTGGAGTGCACATTATGCTGGTCGGCGACTTTCTCCAAATGCCACCCGTCGGCGGGGACGCCATTTATGTAGACCCGAATACAAAATCGCGCCCAAGCACCACAGACATTGAAGGATTCGAGCTATGGAGACAATTCACAACCGTGATCATTCTGGAAGAATCGGTGCGGTTCCGTAGCGATCCCGAGTGGGGAGACGGTTGCAAGATGGCGCGTCTTGGTCAGTGGAGTCCCGAATTTATCAACATTATCGACAGTCGTGTACTCAATCCATCCACCATGGCCGATCGTATTCGGGGCTCTAGCATCTTTGTCACTCCAGAGAACACCAAACGTCAAGCCATCAACAGCGCATTCATCGCCATAACAACCAGCCAACTTCCACCAGACGTATTTCCATTGCGCATTGTAGCCAATTTCAAAGGCGCTCTGAGCAACTTGAGTCGCCATGACGTTGGCTACGTACTTGGACAACCAGACAGTCGGTTCGGCCGCATGGCGCCGTTCCTCGATGTCATTGACGGAATGCCAATCCAGATCACTCAAAATGTGGGGACGGCCAAGGGCGTCGCCAATGGTACCCTCGGATCGCTTGAGTACATTCAATTCCCACCAGCGACTACTTTCCGCCCTGTGCGAGATGGTGCCACTGGGTCAATCATACATATGCCAAGCCACCCACCAAACTATGCCATGTTTCGCTTACCTCGACCACGAGCGCTCTCTTTTCGGCCAGAGCTGGACTCAGAGCTTTTTCCTGTGTTTCCCACGACCGAGCCGTTTTCAAAATGCCAGATCGCACTCCCACCAGCTCCGAACGGCGAGCGCCGCTATGTTGCAGTGAAAATCCAACACTTTCCATTCGTGTGTGCAGTCGGCTCCACCATCTACAAAGTGCAGGGAGAAACGTTGCACTCTATGCTGGTAGTTGACTGGAAATCGAAGAATAACATCATTAACAAGTCACAGCAGACATATCTTCTGGTCTCGCGAGTGACCTGCCGAACAGCGTTCAATACACTGCTTCCACTAACCCTAAAGCTTGCAGAGTGGTCGAGGCCACCACCAAATGCACTCGATGAAGAAAACCGTCTCAATCAACTCAGCGAATCTACCATAGCAGCCTTCGAGCGCGATACGTAGCAGCAATCGGCCAATGCGCATGCTGCCATATCAATCTCGTTGCAATAAGAAACCGCTTTGCATTGAATGGGTCTTCGCTTTGGCCTCTTACCTTCTGTTTGTTGCTCGCACCGCGACTGCACTCGTTCAATCTGTTTCACGCGCCTCGACCGCACTCGTTTAATGTGCTGCCACCGCTGCTGGTCTCTTTGCTCCCATCCGCGAATGGGGGCGCACTTGCTCGATGTGCTGCCATTGCTGCTGATGCCATTGCTGCCGTGCATCCACTCTTACTCGCCCACCTCTTTGCTCCCCTTCCGCGAATGGGGGCGCGCTTGCTCAATGTACTGCCGTTGCTGCTGATGCCATTGCTGCTGATGCCAGTCCACCCGAGCCCACGCCCACACCCGCTCTTACTCGCTCACCTCCTTTTCTTCGCGAATTGCGGTGAAGCCATCTCGTCCGAATGCTGCCATGCACCCGTCGTGCATGTCACTCGATGTGCTGCCATTGCTGCTGATGCCATTGCTGCCGTGCATCCACTCTTACTCGCCCACCTCTTTGCTCCCCTTCCGCGAATGGGGGCGCGCTTGCTCAATGTACTGCCATTGCTGCTGATGCCATTGCAGCTGATGCCAGTCCACCCGAGCCCACGCCCACGCCCGCTCTTAATCGCTCATCTCTTTGCTTTGCTTTTCTCCGCGAATGGCGGTGAAGCCATCTCGTCCGAATGCTGCCATGCACCCGTCGTGCATGTCACAATTTCCGCGCATTTTAGCGCGGACAGAGCAGAAGAGTGACCATTTAATGACAAATGTTGGTACGATTGTTGCCTGAGCGCTGCCAAATGCTGGTACGATGTTACGCGACGTGGGCGCGAAGGTCGTAAGATGACAAGAATTCCTTGGCCCAGCACCCTCAACGACAGTTCTAACGAACTGCGAACATTTTTACCCATCACTGGATCAATGTAACATCTAACGATCTGGTATACTCATCTGTACCCATGTCGTTGAAGTCGACGGCTCAAGCGGTGATCCTGTTCATGAGCTCAATGGGTTCTATCCTGACTTCGGTCTTCACTATCATATTCTCCAGGTCACTACCGCTCGATAACTTGAACGTCGAGAACATGTTCTTCACGTTGGGTGCTCTAAGTGCGATCAACTTCGTGGTTGTCATGAAGAAGATGAGCATGGGCATGTCGGCTTCTCCGGTACTGGGCAATGAGGTTCCAGCTCTGGATAAAAACTGTCAGTAACTTCACGTCACAGTTTGGCGAGTACCAAGTAGCAATGAACTTGTATTAAAGTTTTAGGAAGGAAATGTTTAATACTTCGAAGTACATGCTACGAGAGCGCAGCAACAAAAAAGAGTACAGCCGTAACCTGTCAGTGTAAACCAGCTTGATCTCAATACGCCAGTGCTGCGTTGACAACCTTCTGGGCGTTGATGCGACCGTAGCCGTACTCGTTGTTTGGGAAGATCGTATCTGAGATCCCGCCGCACGTGAGTGGAGTACTCGGCAGCGAGCGATCCGTCGAGCTCATGAGAACTTCCTTCATGGTGTCGAAGCAGAAGCCAGGACGTGCACTCAAAGCTAGTGCAATTGTACCAGCGAGATGAGGGGCAGCCATGCTCGTTCCCGAGAGTGACATGTAGTCTGCGCTGTTGCCATTCCAAGCAGAGCGGACGCTCACTCCGGGGGCAATGAAGTCGGGTTTGACAAGGCCATTCACGGCAGGGCCAATGCTACTGAAGGAGCCCAAGGCGTCGCTCGTATCAGTAGCTCCAACAGAGAAAACCTTGGCCGAGTCACCCGGAGAAACCACCGAACTGCATCCGTTTGCACCGGAATTGCCGGCCGAGAAGATCGGAATGATGCGAGCAGCGCTCCACGCATCAATCATCGGCTGGAAGTACGTCATGCCTTGGCCGGTTCCCCAACTGTTGCTTACAATGTGTGGGGCTTTGGCAGGGTTACAGTTGTTGCCGTTCGTGTCAGTCGGACATAACATGAACTGCGCGCACTGGTTCATCAGTGACAGTGAACAAGACGAGCTACAGGCCTTGCATGACATCCATTTGGCACCTGGAGCGATGCCTACGCCCTTCCCACCGACGATTGTAGCCATCGTGTGCGTTCCGTGGCCATTGGCGTCAAAAGGGGTCGCTGTCTTTTGAGCCGGGTCGTACCATCCGTACGAACCGATCCAGTTGTTCACCAGAGTCTCGTGAGTTGCGCGCACACCGGTATCGATCGTCCCGACAACGATACCCTGACCGGTATTGCTGGTAGCCCAGACATCCGTCGCCTTGATCTTCGTAGCACCCCACCCAGCAGTGGCAGTGTTACTTGGCGAGTCGGCCGTGGGCTGAGGAGGATCCAGAGTTATGATGAGGTCGTAGATAACTTTCTTCACCGAAACCAAAGCGAGGATTTGCTCAATAAGATTAAGCGGGCAGTCCAACACTACGATCGTGTTGGTGATCCAATTGCTTGTGAACTGAACTCCCGCCGCCTGAAGTAGATTCGTCACAGAGCTTTGACTTTGCGCTGCGTGCTGCTTGAGCGCATCGACGATGTTCTGAATGTTCTGGACTCGCTGATCTTCCGTCCAAATTGCGGTGCTGTTATTGGCGACGACATCCAGGATCGGCTTGGGATTTTCCTTCATTACAATGATGCACTTGTTCTGGTCGAACGGGAGGTTTCCCACGGTTTCCACCAGTGAAGATACCGTGTTCGATGTCACCGTCCCCACAGTAGTCAAGATGTTGCCAAGTAACCCCGTCTGGGCTCCAGACACGACGATCGACAGCATGGTGGCGACCAACAGGAAGGACGCAACTTTAAGACGCGCCATGGGGCTCGCAGGCGAGTTTTTGGCTAAGTAATGTAGCTTGGCTAGACACCTGGAAGGTGAATTGAGGAATGAACTGGGACTGCACAAGAATTTCTGCTAGGGTAAATACACACGGATAATTCTAAGTCCAGAGATGGCACGACAGCGATACCGTATTGGCTCTGGATGGGGCTCCGCTCTTGCTTCTTAGCCTTTAGCTAACGGCGGATTTCTTTCCACGGGGCGCTCGTTGTCGTCGTTTGACAAGTGTACCTGGGCCCGTCCACAACAGTGGTCTTCTTTGGGATTCGTGCTGAAGCGGTCGAGCTCGCTTTGCTCTGAATGTCGTGACAGCTCGAAGCGTGAATATCTAAAGCAAAAGTGGCTAGCAGCCGAGAAAAATATGGTAAAGAGTCTCAAATGTGAACGAAAGATCGCACGATCAAGTCAGACAAGCAAGGAGCTTATACCAAGTCTACTTCGCTGCTAGTTTCGGTGAGTTATATAGACTGTCTAATCCCTCAGAATCAAAATCCAAGCTACAAACGCTATTTAATTGGATGAGTAGCCACTCAGAACTTGGCCAGAAACTATAATAGCCGGTCAACTTGACCGTCAAGCGTTTAGGTGACACTCCGATACTTACTTCCTTAAAAATTCGACGTAGAGTTTTAATTTGAAGTTGAAGACGAAATTTTGTTCTTGTGCTCTAATTCCATGCTAGCAAACCTGGTTTTCGTTTAAAACCGCGTTTGCGATGCTGATTTCTTACTGCAATGCTAATATTTTGTGTCAAGCCGCCCATTTGGAGACACGAAGTCTGGCTTTCGCTGGGTAACACAGAAGACTCGAATCAGTTCGCTGGCGCTTCACTGACTCTACTGCTGCGGTGCCTGTAACCGAATGACAGAAGCGGCAACATGCTAGTTAGGTCGCTCTACTGAAAGACACCGATTAAAAATCAAGCGTGGCGTCTTAACCTAGGTTCGCTTTACATGCAGCAAGTATTAGGAAAGGATTAAAAGGAAAAATGAAAGCTAACCGGATACTGGTATATTAATTTTCCCGTCGTCACTTGCCGCCAATACCAAAATAAAGATACTGTTTGAGGACGTCTCGAATCAATCGATGATATTTACATGAAATATATACGAAGGATATATGCGTAGTTATCATGGTACGATACGGGTCTGCATCTCTTTTTTATTTTACCACTTACCACTTCTAGCAAATTACAATTCTTCATGACACTGCAAGTCTCGTTTCTTTTTAGGTGAGCTGCAGTACATTGTGGTCATTTAGCTAGAGCTAACGACTACTTATATCCTCAACGGAAATAGTGTAGCTCTACCGATGCCTGGTAGAAAAAATCAGTATGACTCCAAGCTGTTTCAAATTTATAGAAAGTGGAATGTATTTAGCTACATAAACTAAAACAAAATGCTACAATAGCCGTTGGCTCTAATTCTGGTTAGAACGCAAGAGCCGCATTCACAACATTCAGCGCGTTGATGCGGCCGTATCCGTACTCATTGTTAGGGAAGACCGTGTCCGGAATAGCACCGCATACCAAGGCAGCTCTCGGCAACACTGTATCCGTTGAACTCATTAGAACTTCCTTCAAAGCGTCATAGCACAAGCCAGGACGTGCACTTAAAACCAACGCTACTGTGCCAGCGAAATGAGGTGCTGCCATGCTCGTTCCAGACAGTGACAAGTAGTCGGCGTTGTTACCTTTCCAAGCAGAGCGGATACTCACTCCGGGGGCAACGAAGTCGGGTTTAACAAGTCCGTTTACAGCAGGACCAATGCTACTGAAGGCCCCCAGGGCGTCGCTAGTATCGCTGCCTCCAATAGAGAAGACCCTGGCCGAGTCACCCGGTGACACAACAGAGCTGCATCCTTTTGCACCCGAATTGCCGGCCGAGAAGACCGGGATGATACGGGCGGCGTGCCACGCATCAATCATCGGCTGGAAGTACGTCAGGCCTTGGCCGGATCCCCAACTATTGCTCACAATGTGTGGGGCCTTGGCAGGGTTACAGTTGTTGCCGTTCGTGTCCGTCGGACACAGCATGTACTGCGCACAAATGTTTAGCAGAGACAGCGTACACGTAGACCCACAGGCCTTGCACGCCATCCACTTGGCACTAGGAGCGACTCCCACTCCCTTTCCACCGACAATTGTAGCCAGCGTGTGCGTTCCATGGCCATTGGTATCAAAAGGGGTCGCCGTCTTTTGCACCGGATCGTACCATCCGTACGGTCCGATCCAGTTATTCACCAGAGTCTCATGAGTGCCACGCACACCGGTATCGATACTCCCGACGACGATACCCTGACCGGTGTTGCCTGTGGCCCAGACGTTCGCCGCTTTTATCTTATTAACACCCCACCCTGCAGCCGCAGTGTTGCTTGGTGAGTCGATCGCAGGCTCGGGAGGGTCCAGACTAATGATAATGTCATAGATGACCTCTTTCACTGACAGTAGAGCCAGGACTCGTTCAATGAGCTCAAGCGGGCAGTCCAACACTTCGAGCGTGTTTGTGATCCAATGGCTTTTGAACTGAATCCCCGCTGTCGTTAGGAGTTGGATCAGCGGACCTTGTGACTCTTGTGTGTGTTGCTTGAGTGCATCGACGATGTTTTGGATGTTTTGAACGCGCTCAGCCTCCGTCCAAATGGCAGCGCTGGAGTTGGCAGCAGCAGTGATTATCGGACCGGTACCTTCCTTCATGATGACGAGGATCTTGCGCGAGTCGAAGAGGAGATTGTTGACGACTTTCACTAATGATGAGACGGTATTTGCCACAACACCCGTCACGGTTTCCAATAGATTGCCAAGCCATCCCAGTTGAGCTTCCGCCGACACGACAAACATAAGCGTGGCAGTGACTAGCAGGAAGGACACGAGTTTGAAACGCGCCATGATGGTAACACGCGCCTTGTTTTGAGACTTGAGTTGAGTTGCGTGGCTTTGTTAGACACCCAGAAGGTGAATTGAGGAATGAACTGTAGCGGCCTGCAAGATTTCCACTCAAGAGTCTCAGCGAGCACGATAGAGCCGCATCGGTTCAGGACAGGTGTCTGCTTTTCCTAGTTTGAACGAGCTGCTAATGGTGTTTAACGGGTACTTTTTTCCACGGGGCGTTCGTTGTCGTCGTGTGGCAAGTTTATTAAGCGCCCCGACGACAATCCTCGTCTTCTATGAATTTGTGCTGAAGAACAGTCGAACTAATGGTTGGGAGCTCTTCCAGCATGAAAAAAGTGTCAAATTTCAGAACTTTAGTCGATAACGTTATTTTGGATTCTCGTGCTTGTGGTAAATGAGAAGTAAGAAAAAAAAACTTTAAGAAAATCGGCCACAATGCTTGGTAGTGAACGCTCAACAAATAAACTGCATTAAGCTGCTGTCCACAACAATAGTCAGCTCGTTGTTAGTTTCGGTGAAATAGTTGGCTGTCTGGATTCACTATCAAAGAACCGCAAATGTCAAGCGACAAACGCTAAGTTGCAGCTCAGAACATGGTATGGGAACACCACTGAACGATTTTGGTTGTGGGTGTGAAGTGCTTGTTATTAATAGTATTTTTCTTAATCTTTGGAAGTTACTTTGTCCGACCACCACATGAAGTCAGAACCAATAGCCGGTTTAGCTGTTTCACCGTTTTCACGAGATAATTTCAAGCGTAGCTCCTGACATTTTTATCTGAAAAGCTCGCCGGTGCGTTACACAACGCGCTCGCTTTAAGTCGAGTTGAAGTTGCAGACGAAAGCTGTGGCCATTCGATACTCGATGTTCGTATCTTGTCGCTTTTTCGTCGCTTTCTGCAGTACTTAAGTAATTCTCTACTGCAAGTTTCTTCGTGAAAAGTCGAGAAACTACATGTTCCGCACTCAAGTCCAATATAGTAGTCTGGAATCAGTTCGCTGGCGCTCTGCCGGTTCCACAAACCTGGTGGCAGCGCAGAAGCTGCTGATTTACTCGCTGGTCGCCGCCAGAGCTCTATGGTCTTGTGCCGCAAGAAACCGATGAGAATCCTGGTCACAGTATCGCATTTTAACCTAGATTCATTTTGCATTAGCGTCGTCGTTGAGGACGCTAATGCACTCGTCGTGCAGTGCATACCAGCAGCGATATATAGCGACACACATACAAAATACCCCAATACTAACGCGTGTAGAGAGACAGCAAAATTGTAGCCGTCTTGCAAAAGCGATGAAAATGTCTATTCGGGTGCTTAAGTAGTCGAATCAGCAATCTCATGTAGAAATTTGCTCCTCCACGCGCTGCGCGCCTCAGGAAGCGGTAAACGTTATGCTCATCATTTCCGACATCGAACATACAAACAGCGTGCAACTATTGCGCTCTTCTTCCATCACTTTAAACTCAAAAATGATGCCCCCTAAAAAACACAAGATACCGTTGATTGGCTGACGAAAGCCGATTAACCCCTTTATTACCGCGAATTCAGGCCACGAACCGCCTTATTTTACGTCGTAACTTACAGCATACAATTATCTCGGAGTTTGTATTAGTCTGTCTTTTCCACTTGTCTAATCATTAAGATGGGACTATAAGTTATACAGAGGTTTCCGATTTTTACGTCGTAACACTGACGACGTACTTCAGCATCGCTGACTAACAAGTACACAGATACAACTTAGCCGATCATGTGATCGGGATCACAATCCACAAACACAGTTATAAACGGAGCTACACAGCACAGCAATCATATGAAACTCAACAAAATGCATTAGTAGCATTGCTAAAAACCGTACGGGAGGCTCACTAGCTCTCTTCTTTCTCCTCAGACAAGATTTCTCGACGTGTCTTCTTTCGCACTCCGGCGGCCTTGGGGGCACGGCGCAGAACGACACGCTTACCTAGGTGACTCGGAATTGACGCGCCACATTCGAAGTCGTCGTGCCACACTTGAAAACACGTTGTATCCGTGCCTCTGCGCGCCTTGGGACAGAGGAAGCACTTTGCATCACCCTGCGAGCAGTCTTCACAGTAGTAAGTAGTCTGGTAGCTTTTCTTCTGCTCACCTCGATAGAGGGAGCACACCTTGCAAGAGCGCTGGCGCCGCTTCTGAACGCCCGATACAATCACCCAATCATCAAGCTGCTTGTGTACGTGGGAAGCGTTGCGGCGGCGCTTTGGCGCGCTTGGAGACGGTGATGGCGCTGCTGTTTTGAAGTCTTCGTCCGTGAGCTGCGTGAGCTGCTTGTGCAGCAACTTGTACCAGTCCACGCGCTTCATTGGGGCGACGCCGTCGAGGCGACAGGCCTCCTTGTGTGTGATGTACGCGTTTACAAGCGCTAAGTCAAACAGACCTAAGAATAGACCCTTATAGTACTTTCGGAACCTGAAAGAAGTCTGGACGGAGAACGTTTGAAGGCGGAGTTGATCATGCACATCAACTCCGCCCATCCAGCGCTGGTAATCGGTCACCAGTTTGGGACAGCTGAACGTCGACTGCCCCACCGTCTTCAGGTTTCTCTTGATGGTATCTTCGGCCATTGACACCCCAGTGGCCAGGTAGTGCACAGGCTTGCGGTCCCACCAGTGGCATGCAACCATGGTGGGCACCGCAACCGACCTTGAGTACGTGAATGACCCGCGCTCTACTGTGGTTGGTCGTGTTTTCCTTCGCTCAACGACGTGCTTGTCGAATCCCAGCCTTGACGTCATGATTGTTCCAATCATGTAGACCGACATCGAAAGTAGTTGAATGGCGAGAGCAACGGAGGTGTAGAATCTGTCGACAACAATGACACGAAATCCGGGGTCGTTCTCATCCAACACAGCCTTCAAATTTCGAATTACAGCGGCTGCTCCTGTCTTGTGGTCAAACGCCTGACTTGCACTTTCATGGTTTTGACGCTTCCCTACATATATCTCGAATCTAAAGTCGTAAGTGACAACATAATGCAAATGTCAGACCATCAAGTCATAACTTACGACTTTGCAACATTTATAAAAAAAATGCGCACCTGTGGCAGTAAGCAGACACTGCGTCGCACGTCATGAACATCTTGGTGCCATAACGGTGCGGCTTGTCCGGCATAAACATACGGGTACTGTTACGCTTGGACGTTTGAGGAAGTACACCTTCGTCGAAAGAGATGATTGCAGCCACTATCCACGCAGCTAGGAATGTCATTTGAAGTACGTCAACAACAGCTCGCAGTTTCCACAACTTGTCTCTTTTGTCAGCTGTGTCATTGTTGCAGAAATGTAGATCTCGTAGGATAGAAGTACAGCGATTTCGAGAAATGAAATTGCCAAACCGTCCCGCCGAAAGCGCGCCATCATCGGTCATAGCCCAGTGATCTGAAAACGGACGGGTAGGGCTGAGCATATGAGCTACAAGTAGACCCATGACACAAAGAATCTCGCGCGGTACGTAATCAGGTTCGACTCGTATGCGGCGGCGAACATCCCGTAGCGTTTGACCTGGTACGCTGCGTCCTTCACGAACGAGACGTGCACGCTCTTGGCGCGCCTTTTCCTCGAGGTGTGACCTTTTGTATCTGTTTGTCTCGCTCGTGATGAATGTCCACAGGTTCACCGGCATAAAATAGAATAGCAATTCCAATGGAGAATCCTTTTTAGCACGAAGTGCTTCCACAGGCCTAGCCGCTTGATCCTTCATATCTTTGAACGCGCTATTGTCGGTTTCATACTCGGAGGATGCAGGAGTCCACGCCATCGAACGAAGTGTAATCTGGTTCATGTCTTCGATAGATAGAGAACCCCCCAAGCAATCAATAAATGCTGCATCAATAAGAGGCGCCTCTTCTTCGTCAGATGACACGTCGTCACCAATTTGTCTTTGAACAATATCACTATCATCATCTGATCCAAAGCCATCCGACTCCGAGTCCATGCTCTCATACTCGTCTGCATTGTCCTCGTCCTTCATGATGTTCACGTCCTCTTGTAGCAAGCCACGATCTTCTCTCGAGTTTGTTCGCTCATCGTTTCGTCTCGAGTTTGTTGGTGTCACAGGCTCGACAACAGCACCATTTTGACCGGCGCATAGTGACAGCGCTACATCAGGTTCATCACCGCTCATAGCTCCACAAAATATCTCGTCTATGGTGTTTGCTGCAAGCGCAATACTTGTGTCTATCTGTGACGCCCTTGAGCTCTCATCCTCTATGTGCGGACTTGTGGCGCATAGCGGAAGTTCTGCAGGTGTCTCGCTGTCCTCGCTATCGGATCCAAACAATGCTTCAACGGTGTTCGCTGAGAGAGCAACACTCGTGTCTATCTGAGACGGTGTTACCCTCTCACACTCTGCAGGAACTTCTGGCTCACCTTCTTCACTCTCGTCGTCTCTGTCGTCGCCTGCACCTCCCTCGTCAGCGCCAATGATGCCCTGTTCAAACGCATACTTTACTACCGCATGTTCTCCTTCGCATACACAGCACAGAGCACGTATTAGACACACTCACAATAGACTAACCACATCAGACTTACCGACAAACATGTTCACGCCCTCGATGTGTAGCTCCTTTGCAGCGTTCGGTGGGTAGTACGAGTGCAAATTGGACAGCCGCGTTGGCCTCTTTGACGTCCATCCGACACGCACGAGCTGACGCCATAGATGACCAAAATCCACATCTCGCACGTCGATTCCTGAGAGCGCCTCTGCTTGAGCTTTTGACCGCTTGCTTGTTCTGACCGGCATCTTTGCTTGAGCCCGCAAATTCTGTACTGGTGGAGAACATCCACCGTCCACCAAACGTACGGTCCCCAGATAGTGGGACAGTGAATCCACCTACAGCCTTTTTCTCCCCTGTCGCCCACTACCTTTCCAAGCTTATATTTTTTTTGCAGAGAAACAGACTTGATTAAAGTATGTGATCGTCGCATCTGAGCCATTTCCTGTTTATCTTGACAGTTAAGTCGTAACTTACGACTTAAGGTTTTCACTACGTCGTAAGTTACGACGTTGGTAACCAAGGGGTTAAAGGACAAAACAGTTTGATGTATCGGACAGTACACGGATCGAACCGTTTAATTGACCGTAAATTAACCGTACGATACCGTACCACCGAAAGGCAACTTATGTCGTAAGTTGCCAATTTACATGTACTGTAGTCTCACGCTAGCTCGGCTCGTTTGCCTACCGACTGCTCTCTCCACGTTAAGAAGCACTTTTCCATCACGCGATGAGCCCATAATTCCAGTGCTATCTGTCGCGCTTTGGAAAATGGTCGAGCTCTACGCAACCTCTTGGAGCTCCGAAGACGACGATTCTGCACGACGAGGTACCAAGCATGAAGCACGTGAGTCAGCAAGACTCGATTTCTTTTAAGTTGCGATTGTAGAGCTCGTGCGTGGCGGAATATACCGCCAATTTGACACTTTTGGTCTAGCGTCGATGCTTTAAATCGAGTCTGAGAGCGATGCAATTGCTGCACGTAATATTCCCACCGCCTCTTCTGTCGACAGGCTGCTACGAACGCTTTCCAGTGCATTAGAGCATTGTGTTTAGCGTTTAATATCAACTTGTGTTGGTTGAGAGCTAGCCACAATTCAACGCGCCATTGGGTCAGAGCTCGCAGTAGCAAATTGCGTGCTGTTTGTAAGCAAATCTCACGACACGCTTGCTGTTGAAGAGCGTACCGCTTAAATCCTTTAGAGAAAGTAAGTTGCAACAGAATTAATTGCTGAGAACGTCGCCATCGACAGGACACACGCCGCAATTTCCAATGGTGCCAACATGTCCGTCTCCACCTCTGCAACTCTCTCTGTTCCCGACGAAGAGCCATTTTGTATGTTGTGTTTAGGAGACTCCACGCTGTGAACAAGCTCTGTAGTATTCGCTGCTCTAACATACGCTTCATACTGGCAGCAACGGCGTATTGACCACGTCGGTCGTCTAAATAACGTTTCCAGATAGTAAACACATTAATCAGACGATATTTCGTCATGGTATGACGCCACATGGCTACTGCTACTTGACGTCGCTTAGTGACGCGCAGAAGAGCATTCCAGGACCGCGTAACTAACACTGTCGAGTGAAATCCTGCAGCTTCGAGCATTTTCTGCTTCTCCATGTAGCCATCTTGCCATACACGAAATACACGGCGTCCAATGCCATTCCATACCACACGTTCGCCCAAATATCGACAGAATTGAGCACGTTTTACAGCTGCAAGCCACTTGGACAACACCTTCTGTAACACTACCGCTTCTCGCCACTCCTCAGCATCAAGACGCTGCTTTCGCCGTGTTATTGCCTGCACTGCAGCACTACGCATCAAGTGAGCTGCTTTTCGTTTTGCACGATGTTTAAAGAACTCATCAGCCTCATATCTTCTGCGTCTTAGCGTAAAAAACCCTTTCCAGTGACTCCAAGTACGTACAAGACGCCGTCGTCTATCGTACGCGATAGCAGTACAGTTATACCCAATAGTTAATGTGAACAGTACTCGCAGATACTTGGCTTGTAGTTTCTTGCGTGAAAACTCCAATGCTAGTCTCTCGGCGCTTAAACGTTGCTGCTTGTGTCGCCATCGCGATAACGCTAACTTCAGTATGTGTTGTTTAGACAGAGCTGTCAATTTTCGACACCCCCATTCGTATCTGCGAGTTTTATGGAGCCACACAGTGACAAACGCGTATTTAAGCAAACGACGCGCACGTATTTGCTGTACGTCGCTAGCTTTTGCACGCAGACTTTGACATTGTAAAGCTAACAGCTCCCAACGTTGCCAACGCCAGCGAAGTTGGATTAAACGTCGTAGTGCCAGTAAGTGACGCTGACGATGCTGCATATCAAGCCACAATGTCCACGTAGTAAAGGACTTGCTGTAGCGTTCTCTGTGTCGATGAATTATCGTCTCTTTCCAACAATCGATACGTTGTTGTAGCTGTCTTTGCTGTCGTCGCTGCGTCACCAGAGCAATCCGCTTACTAAGCTCTCTACGACTCCAATACGCCCATTTCGACCAGTGTTTTAACATCTTTTGGGTCAAGTGGTTAACCGCTTTTGTATCGAGATATTGTTCCCTGAACGCAACTTGATGCGCGGCTTTCCAACGTCGTAGTGTCTTTCTCAACAGCAATCGTCGATAAATCAGTACACTGTTCGCCACCAGCGCTCTGTACTCTCGTGCAGACCTCACTTGGCTCTGCCAGGTTCCAATGGCTTGTCGAAGCATACGTATTTCACGCACATCTGCAATACTTTCGACCAATAATCGTTGTTGACTCTGCTGGTTAACGACACGGACGAACGCCATCCAGTGCTCTCGTAGGCGTCTACTTCGCTGCTTTACTGTGAGTTTTTGTATACCAACAGAGCGCTGATAGCTGCGTCGCCAGGGAAGCCAAACAGCAGTTCGCAGTATCGTACGCTCATGATTTTCTTTTAGAAATGCAGCGCGGAGGCGCAGCATCCGATCACGTTGTGATCGATGTAGCCATGTCCATACTGCTCGATGCATCTTCCAACGCTGCAAAGAACGTTCTCGTTCAAAATTAAATCGTGCATAGGAGACGAGCTTTGTGAAGGCTTTTCGACGACTTTGACCATAGAGCACAGCCGCAAGTTCTTGTCTTTGTTTACGTGAATGTCGGGTGTAAAGTCTCCATATCTTCACCACGTTTCGAAGCTTACAGCGACGTCGACGTCGAGTAACAAGCCGCAACGTATGACGCACACGTCTCGTGTCTTCGTGAATCTCTCTCCAATTATCAAACACGTCTCCTATCACTTGTCGCTCACTCCACTTAACAACAAAGCGCCATTGTTTCCGCTGCTCTACATAGTATAAACCAGCGTTCTTGTAGCTCCAGTTGTCGTCGTTCAATGAAAAATTTTATCTCAAAAGTTATCCTTTGTTGCGTCTTGATCGCTGCCGTTAACCACCGCCAATAACGGCGAAGACGTTGTACGTCCGCTTTATGTTTGTATCTTCTAAACCGTGCACGTTGAGTGGCAGCTAATACCCACGTGCAAAACGCTTCACAGCTCAATCTCCGGCGGCGGGCTAGACTAAATTCCCTTAGGTTTGCTGCAAAATGTTGGACAGAAGTCCACCTCACCCACATCACTGCCAGAGCCGTAATATTCGCTTGCTTCGTCACGGCATTTGCAGCTGTCTTTAGCGTTTGCCGGTAGAAGTTTTTTTGTCTCCAAGCCGTGAATATAACGTCTACGATACGCTGCTCGCGCCTTCTTCGAGCTCGAGCGTGCAGTCTTGAAATGACTGCCGCTTCATGTGAAATACGGCGCCAATCGCTCATGTATTTACTAATTAATGCGTGTCGTTCGCTCGCGGTCATTTCGTGCTGCTTATCACCCTTGGTGACGTCTCTTATACGTCGTAAACGAGCCAAACCTCGCTCCATCGCAACAGGACTCACTTTTTGGGGCGTTGGGCGACCTACTGACGCCAACAGCGCAGTCACTTCGGCCCATTTCGGCGCCAAAGTGTTAGGTGAGGTTACGACCACTCTCCTTTCGTTGTTTGGACGTCGCTGAGCGTCGAATGCAGCGTCAATCTCCTGTCGAAGTCGCCTTAGCGCATCTGTCGCCATTCTCACACAGTATCCGACGCTTAAACTCACTTCAACTACAATTGTCACGTTGATTGGACAAAACTCAGCTCGCGCTGTCTAATAAATAATGACCTATGATTGGTGCAAAACTACTACTTCAAAAGTTTTTTTTGGCGGGAATTAAACAAATCTAAAGCTATGGCGTCGCAGTCGCAGTCGTTCTCGCAGACATTCGGAGGCGTGGGCGCTGGCGGCGATGCGTCCAGAGGCGGAGGCGTCGGCATGTCCAACTACGAGGAGGAGAAAGGTAAAAACATTCGAAGTTTCGACACTTTAACACCAAATTAACGCCGAAAAACTTTATAAAACAGCGAAATGCGTCGAGTTCCTACTTAACTTCACGTCAAACCTGGACGACCCAGCGCTAGAACCCAAATACGCGCGCATGCTGGTACAACGTCTCTCTCAATCTAACTAATACCTCCAGTTTCTAACACTGTTAATATAACAGCAAGAGGTGGCAAACCGTGAACGAACCTCCATCCCCATCGCCTTGGACGACATACAAATTGTACGTCCTTCTAACAACGATAACTAACCTTTCTGTCTTCCTAACTAACATGTTATTAGTTCGAGAAGGACGACCCGACTTTCGTGTCGCGTATTGTGCGCAATGCTCGTCGATATGTCGCACTCTTCTCGGACGCAGTGGACGAGAACTTGCCCGCCCCTACAAGAGACATTTCCGACTCGCAAGACGTCCTGGATGTCCTCCGTATCTCTCGCGCTCAAGAAGTAGCACAGCAGCGTCAATCAGACGACGGAGAGAGCCAAACTGTCAACCCAGCGACCATCTTCCCTCCAGCATTAATGCGTCGCTTTGAAGTGCATTTGATCCCTGGTGTTAAGCTTAAAGCAGTACCTATTCGTGACGTAAAAGCAGCCAAAGTCGGTGCTTTGGTTCGTATTAAGGGCATGGTCACCAGAGTGTCCACCGTCAAGCCGCTACTGACTGTAGCCACCTACACGTGCGAAGCCTGTGCCTATGAAGTGTACCAGGAAGTCAAAGCACGTCAATTTAACCCCTTGACACAATGTCCAAGTGAACGCTGCGAGACGAACAAAGCGCAAGGACGTTTAATCATGCAAACCAAAGCTTCCAAGTTCGATAAGTACCAGGAAGTCAAGTTCCAGGAGCTACCGGATCAAGTACCTATGGGACATATCCCACGGTCTCTTACAGTTTATCTACGAGGCGAACTCACCCGCACATGCGAGCCTGGCGCTCTCGTGACCATCTGTGGCGTGTTTCTACCTCTTCCGTACTCTCCACAACGACAGATGCAGATGGGTCTTGTGACTGAGACGTACTTGGAAGCCACCGACGTTGTGAACCATAAGAAACGGTACTCGGCAATGGAGTCGTCTGAAGCCATGGAAAGTGCCGTGTTGAGACTACAAGAAGGCGCGGAGAATGTGTACGAGGTCTTGTCTCAGTCGCTAGCGCCCGAGATTTACGGCCACGAAGATGTCAAGAAAGCGCTGTTGTTACTACTGATTGGAGGAGTGACGAAGCGTATGGATGAAGGTATGAAGCTACGTGGAGATCTCAATGTCTTGCTTATGGGAGACCCGGGAGTAGCCAAGTCGCAGCTTCTTAAACATATTGCTACTGTGGCTCCGAGAGGAGTCTATACGACAGGAAAAGGCAGTTCGGGAGTCGGTTTGACTGCTGCAGTGGTGCGTGATGCCACGACAAAGGAAATGACATTGGAAGGTGGAGCTCTGGTCCTTGCAGACATGGGGATCTGCTGTATCGACGAGTTTGATAAGATGGAAGAGGGCGATCGTACCGCTATCCACGAAGTCATGGAGCAACAGACTGTGAGTATTGCTAAAGCAGGCATCACGACGACATTGAACGCGCGTACGTCGGTCCTGGCAGCAGCCAACCCCATCTACGGACGCTACAACAAGAAGCTGAGTGCGTCGCAGAACATCAACCTGCCCAATGCGTTGTTGTCTCGCTTCGATCTCTTGTTTCTACTATTGGATGTGGCGAATTACGAGAAAGATGAAGCCCTGGCTCGACATGTGACGTATGTGCATCGATTCTCGCGTAACCCGGAGATGAAGTTCGACCCGGTACGTCCAGAAGTGCTGCGGTACTTTATTGCCATCGCCAAGCAGTACCAGCCCAGTATTCCGGAACATTTGTGTGGGTATATCGTCGAAGCGTACGTGACACTGCGTCAACAAGACGTCAACGACCACGCGCGAGAGCGACAGCGACAACAATTCCGGCAACAATTCGGAGACGGCGGGGCCAATGACGCTCAGACCGCCATGACAGCTCGACAGTTGTTAAGTATTTTACGTCTCTCGCAAGCTCTCGCGCGACTACGATTCTCCACGGAAGTTATTCACCAGGATGTCGATGAAGCTATCCGCTTAGTGTACGTGTCCAAGGCGTCGCTATCAGAGCAGGATGATGTCAATGGAGTGGGAAACAATGGCAAGACGGGTGCTTCAGGGACGGGCAGGTCGGCAGATGCCACGTCCAAGATCTTCCGGTTGGTGCAGGAGTTCGCTACTGACCGCAACCTCAAGATCCTCGCGATGAGCGACCTGGAACCGGTTGTTCTGCGGAAAGGCTTTACGTCTCAGCAGTTGTACGCATGCATCCAGACGTACCAAGACCTGGAAATCGTGCAGTTGTCTAATAACGGGACGAGTCTCACGCTCATATAGACAAACAGGAAGATCTTAACGCTAAATTTAGGAAGTATAGCTTTTCATAATCCAAGCGCTGATTTGAAAACACCCTTTAGAACTTAATTTTAGCTGGTGCAACATCCGTGCTCCTTGTACATCATGACCTCAAATATGTAGACTAAAAATTAAACATTCGCAGATATTTCGTTCGAGTCTTCGTCCTCAGCAATTAGGGTCATTCGAATTGTCGAATCAATGATCGATGAGCTGTACTGGCTAATAGCCAGTGGCTATCGCATTAAGGTGAATGATGTGAGCTGCAGCAAGCACTTTCCTTGCTTGTTCTGGTTGCAACACGAACCGAGCGCAGTGAAGACACCCGGCCTGGTACGGCAGGTTTGAGAAACGATATTACACACTCCATCGCTCAGTTACCATCAATGTATCGGTAGAGTGCTGCGGCGACATGTCATTTCAAACCCCTCTCGCTTACTAGGCCACTGTATGAGCTGCCAATGAAATCGCTTGTCGCTCTCACCACTCAGTAAAACACACGATTTGTCTTCAAAAGAGCATCTCCGTTCAAAACTTCTCGTCGCGTTCCTTTTCTCCTTTGCCAGTCGATCTCCAGTGCAAAATCGGCAATCGAATCAGATGGCCGCTTCAACATTTGCGAACTTAAGGCGTACTTAGAGCCAATCCTCGAAAACTACTGGCCAGCAGAGCTCCAACGTTCCCACCATCCACAAGCTGGTTGCACCCCAAATTTGCAACCTGCTCCTACACCGCGTGTTGCAAGTTGCGCAATGACAACATCACTCGGTTGGCTAGTAGAGCTCGCTAGACCCCCTCGACGTCATTTTCCAACTAGGAAACCAGCGGGCAAGTCACTCTCTTCTTCCCCTCTTTGTCGTCACAATGGCCCCGAAGCGTCGTTCCCGTAAGACAACCAAGGACGTGTACGCCAGCGTCCCCGCCGAGGAGCGTGCCAAGCTTGGCGCTGAGGCCAAGGAGCGCGGTAACGCCGCCTTTGCCGCTGGCGATCACGCTACGGCCATCAAGGAGTTCACGACGGCCATCGCGTACGAGCCCACGAACGTTATCTATTTCTCGAACCGTTCGGCCGCCTACTTGTCGGCTGGCCAGGCCACTCCGGCCATGCAGGACGCCAAGTCATGCATTGACTTGGACGCTAAGTTCGCCAAGGGCTACGCTCGTCTGGGTGCCGCCCACTTTTACATCAAGAACTACGCTAAGGCCATCACCGCCTACACCCAGGGTCTGACCGTGGAGAAGGGCAACAAGGCTCTGCAGGCCGGCCTGACCCAGGCCCAGGCTGCCCAGCAGGTGCAGGACGAGGAGATCAGTGGCGTGGAGATGGACGAGGCCACGCGCAAGATGAAGCGCATGGAGATCGAGGAGAAGATCAACAAGGCCCGCAAGGAGCGTGAGGAGCGCGCCAAGCGTGCCGAGAAGGGTTTCTCGGAGGTGATTGGTATCGATCTGGGTACGACGTACTCGTGCGTGGGTGTGTGGAAGGACGGCCAGGTGGAGATCATTGCCAACAGCGAAGGTAACCGTACGACCCCGTCGTGGGTGGCCTTCAACGAGAGCGAGCGTCTCATCGGAGAGGCGGCCAAGATCCAGGCCGCTGGTAACGCCACGAACACGGTGTTCGACGCCAAGCGTATCATTGGACGCAGCTTCAGCGACGAGGTGGTGAAGAAGGACGCGAAGCACTTCCCGTTCACGATCAAGGAGGGCGATGAGGACAAGGTGCTGATCGAGGTGGAGTTCAAGGGCGAGAAGAAGAGCTTCACGCCCGAGGAGATCTCGTCCATGGTGCTGCTGCGCATGAAGGAGACGGCCGAGGCGTTCCTGGGCCAGAGCATCTCGCAGGCCGTGGTGACTGTGCCCGCGTACTTCAACGACCAGCAGCGTCAGTCCACCAAGGACGCCGGTTCCATCGCCGGCCTGGACGTCAAGCGTATCATCAACGAGCCCACGGCCGCTGCACTGGCGTACGGTCTGGACACGAACGCCGGCACGGACGGCAAGGCGTGCAACGTGCTGATCTTCGACCTGGGTGGCGGTACCTTCGATGTGTCGATCCTGTCCATTGAGAACGGCATCTTCGAGGTCAAGTCGACGGGCGGTGACACGCACTTGGGTGGTGAGGACTTTGACAACAACATGGTGGAGCACCTGCTGTCGGAGTTCAAGCGTAAGAACCGCAACCTGGACCCGTCGAGCTCGGCCCGTGCGATGCGTCGTCTGCGTACGGCGTGTGAGTCGGCTAAGCGTATGCTGTCCACTACGACGTCGGCCTCGGTAGAGGTGGACTCGCTGTTCGAGGGCGTCGACTTCTCGTCCACTGTGACGCGTGCCAAGTTCGAGTCGCTGAACGAGGAGCTGTTCAAGCGTTGCGAGGAGACTGTGCTGAAGGTGCTGGAGGACGCCAAGATGAAGCCCGAGGACGTGACGGAGCTGGTGCTGGTCGGCGGTTCCACGCGTATCCCCAAGGTGCAGACCATGCTGTCCACTCTGTTCGGCGGCAAGGAGCTGTCGAAGTCCATCAACCCGGACGAGGCTGTGGCGTACGGTGCCGCTGTCCAGGGCGCCATCCTGGACGGCATCCGCAACGACGCGACCAACTCGCTGCTGCTTGTGGATGTAACGCCGCTGTCCCTCGGTATTGAGACCGTGGGCAAGGTCATGTCGGTGCTGATCAAGCGCAACACGGCCATCCCCGTGCGCAAGACCCGCGTGTACACTACCGAGGAGGACTACCAGACGTCTGTGGACGTGTGCATCTACGAGGGCGAGCGCGCGTGCGTCGAGTCGAACAACAAGCTCGGCGAGTTCAACATCTCCGGTCTGGAGCGTGCCAAGCGTGGCGAGCCGCAGGTCGAGGTGACGTTCGAGATTGACGCGAACGGAATCCTGAACGTGTCGGCCCGTGACAAGAAGACCGGCGCGAAGGCCGAGACGACCATCTCGAACAACCGTGGGCGTCTGAGCCAGGAGGACATCGACCGTATGGTGGCCGAGGCCGACAAGTTCAAGAAGGACGACGCCGAGATGCTGCGTCGCATTGAGGCCCGTAACGACCTGGAGCAGTTCATCTACCGTGCCATCGAGACGGCTCGTGAGAAGGGCGACACGAACGCGGAGAGCGCCATCCGTGACGCCCGTGACTGGCTCGAGGACCACGAGGAGGCCACGCTGCGTGAGCTGGAGGACAAGAAGCGCATGCTGGAGCGCATGGTCCGCTTCTAAGCGCGCCTCTTACATTAGTTTTTAGTCAGCGTACAGATGAACAATCAACAAGCTTGCTATTCATTTACTCGTAACTATTCAAATGCTTCGTTTTACAATCTTTTTTCTTGGATTTGTTTGGCCACAAGACTCTTGTCAAGAGTGTGCACGAGCTCATTCTTGAATTTGTTTTGCAATGCAGATTTTTACTACTGTAGTAACGTTAGTGCAGCATCCAGTAGCCTAAATTTTTACTGTGGGGCCAAGTGAAGATAAGCTAGCGGGGTCTACCCACTAAGCCACATACATGTAGCTTTGACATCAACCACGGCCACTTGGGCTCCATGTCCAGGCAACACGACAGCATATATTAAATAAATTTTGCTTGTCCAAATTGCCCGACCCTGTTACGCTGAGTAGTCAAAACCAAAGAAATAATTTATTACTATCGAGTTTTTTGTTTGCAAAAATGCACTATTTATTGTAATAGTATCCAAGTAGCTTTACGAAAGACTTCCGTAATTTAAGCAAAAACGAATGCATCGACATTACATAACCTAGATTTAATAACGAGAGATCTGAAGGGAGTCATACACACCCTACCTGAACAAGTTTTGGCAATCACCTCGGCCGGCTAGCACTGTTTATTCCGTAACCACGTTTAAAAAAAACGAAACCCGGGGGAAGTTTACTGACCTCTTAATCATAATCGACATTACAAAGTTTCGTCGTCGTCCCAAGAAAGCCGGACCAAAATGCGCGGCACATGTTCACTAGCCGTCATTGTGGTAATGTTCTTTGTTTTTACCAAGGGCTGTGCCAGAGCCGATGATACTACTCTGATCAACAATGCTCGTGGTTTGGATTCTGACAGTACCGGAGGTATTATCTCTGAAACAAGAGCTCCTTTCCAAATGAACTAATCGGCTGCAGCACAGCGATCAACAAACTGCAAACCAAAAACAAAAAGCAACAAACTGCGATTGCACGATTGGGACGATGCAGGGTTTGTACTTACTCATGTGGATTCAGTGGGTATTGGCAGAACCTTTCAGCAGTTGATATGAGAATACAGCAAAACCGAGTACAGGCAGCAGACCGATAGCTTTCGTCCACTTGGTAATATGGCCAGGCGCATCCATCTTCGCAGCGTGTAGAACCTGCGATTGAGTCGAAGGTTTCGAAGCTTGCTGCAGGACGCGGCAATCGGTGGTATTATCATCACTTCACCCAAAAGACCTCCAAGACATTGTTCTAAGAAAAGCAAAAAATATTGTATTCAAAACAATAAAATACACAAGAATTTTTTGCCTTTCTAACTTGAAGACTCGCTTTATACCGACTTTATCACCGGTCTCATTTCAGTTGTACCATACCGGCTTCAGCTACTGGTACTTGCAATCCCAGTACCGTAGTCCATAACGTGCACATGATCGTACTTAGTGCAAATGACCTTAGTAAACCGGTTCTCTGAGCCGGTTTATAAATTCATACCGGTCTAGCGTAACCCTGTGAACTCGCCTCGTAACGATGGCCAAGTCCAAGTCCTCTGGCGCTGGTGATGCTGTGGTTTTCTCGACGTACCAGGGCGAGAAGCAGCTCGCGGAGCTGGTGAAGCTAATCGACAAAGACCTGTCAGAGCCCTACTCCATCTTCACGTACCGGTATTTCCTGTATAACTGGCCGCAGCTGAGCATTCTCGCTCGTGTGCAGCAGAAGCTCGTGGGTGTCATAATCTGCCGCCAGGAGCCGCTAGGAGCTACGCCTGAGGAGACAGGAGACGATGGACTCCATGCACAAGGAGACCCCAAGCGCCGTTGGAGGGGGTACATCGCCATGCTGGCCGTGGAGAAACAGTTCCGCCACCGTGGTATTGGCTCGCAGTTGGCCCAGAAGGCCATTGAGCGCATGCGCGACGGCGGCTGCGAGGAGGTGATGCTGGAGACGGAGATCGCCAACAAGGGTGCTATCCGCCTATATGAGAACCTGGGCTTTGTGCGTGACGAGCGGTTGGTCAAGTACTATTTAAACGGGGGTGACGCCTACCGTCTTAAGCTTTGGTTGCAGTAGAGATGCTGCACTAGAGAAGTCATTTCTGAGCAATTGATGCTCCAAAAGGTCAACAATGCACATTTAAAGAAATTTACTTGTGTCTGCCAATGACCGGATAATGTAAGTCATTATTGGCGAAAATGGAGTTCTTTATTTTAAAGCTACTGTGTTAATACTTTCCTTCGCTCGTTTGTTCCACTTCATTCCCAAGCATGAAAAATTACCGTCGCAGCTTTGAAATGTGCGAACAGTTTGATGCATGAATATATTATTTTAGATTATTTCAGACATTTCTCAATACAAGTATTAATAGTAGGCTCAGCTTTAGCAATGTGCTGGCGATATCCTAGCACTTAAACTTAGATCTGCGGCAGGCAGATCTCTCCATTCGTCGAGTACATGTGTGAGCGATCTTGTAAGTGAAATCTGCTCGATGAGCATGCGTTTGATCCTGATGTTACGTTGCTCTGCGAGTTGTCGCTCGTGGCTCTGCTTCAAAGCGATGATCCCTCCATAGCGATCCTGCGCGGCGTCGCTCCAGGATCGCTGCAGCTCGGTTTGAATTCTGCAGACTTGCAAGCACCGCTTCAAGACCTTTAATCTCGTGGCGCAGGAGCTCGATCTTGTCTTTGTTTCTCACGCGAGGTGTGAGTTCTTTCCTGATCCGTTTCCGCCTGACGACTGCATCGTTTTTCGGATGAGGGTGCAGCCTTTTATACTTTGTTTTTGGCTGTGGCGAGTCTCCACTTAGCGGATCGACTATCGTAGGATTGCTCGACCAGCTTCCTTCGTCGACGTCAAGTAGAGAAAGGATATCAGCTATAAACTGCTCGTCCGTCGCTTGTAATTCGGGTGAGAGACTCATTGTGCTGGTTTCGGGGAAAAAGCTAAAGTGAATGACCGCTAGCGGAGCTTGTGTCGATTACGCGATAGAAACCATCGCAAGCAAGTTTACGTGACCCAAGATCGAAAAAGCGTACCCTAAGAATGTGAGTCACAACGGCATTTCGAGTGGGTGTTGCTGAGTGCCAACCGACGCACCAGTGAATATTGACTGAAGTCGAAAGGCCTTCGACTCGTCAAATATCGAGTGTCTGCACCTTGTACGTTGCAGTCGCCTTGTACATGTACCTAGATGAGTAAAGCTTGGTGCCGATGCTATCTATAACGTACGCTAAGCCTTTATTTGTAAGCACGTAATAGTAGACTTCATTTTTGAAGTGAAAGAAATGAGTCAATCTGGATTTCTTAGGTTCAAAGCTGCCGTGGCCTAAGGACCTGAGTTGCAAATAGATTTCCACCGAAATGACCAACGCTGCCGCAACTCGCTTGAGATCTTACGCGACTTCAATTTGAAGTGGTGTAAGATCTCATGCGAGCGAAGTTCGAAGTGTGCCGCACGCATTCCTGTTCTACAGATGAGCCCGTCGGTAGTAATCCCTGCTCTTGAAATAGCCTAAGATAATATTACCTCTCCCTCGTAATATGGAAATGTACACTGTACAATAATTGTACAGTGCAATTATTGCACAATACGCTTTCGCGTAAACTATCAGCCGTCAACGATGTTGACTACTGTATTATAATACCGGTACATTGCTGCGCCTCGCCCGACGACACCCAGCGGTCCATCGAGTTAAAAGTTACCTCACATTCGCTTTTACCGTACCAAACCTCATAATGAGTTATCTCCTCGAAGCAGGCCTCAGACAATACAATACGAAATTGTACTGCAAGACATCGAGTCCCATAATAATAACGGGAATATGATGAAGTACAATAATAGTAACGGGGCCAATATAAGTATATTGTGGCCTCTAACTACCAAGTCTTCCTACTCATTGGCGACGAGCGAAGTCGCGTTCAACATGTCGCGGTTCACGCGAAGAAATGCTAACATCTCAAAGTTTGCAGAAAGCATGCATGACCGCGGAGGCGTCAGAATGAGCTTGCACTGCGAAAACAGTCTTTCACCTGTGTTTGAGGTGGGCGGCACCACCTTTGCCAGCTCATGCAAGCTCACACCCGCAGCACCAGCCGCTCGCATCTGCTTCCCCCCTCGTAGAATTGCGCTGGCGTAATCGCTCGTCGAGCGCTCCTTCCTCTTACCAGTTGCAGCATCTGGCTCCACCACCAATCGCTGGACTGCGCGCGACTCAGACGCAGTGAGCTTCGCATTGTTGCAAATCTTGAACAAAGCTGCCTCAAAGGCCGGCGCATGGACGATCTTCGCCGCCGGACGCAGATGGCTCGCCATAACTGGGTAGTCGTCAACAACCTGGTCAAACAAAACACGCACGTCCGCCATGCTGGTGTCCTCGCGCTGGAGTGTCTTGCAGACACTATCGAGTTTCTTGAGGTGCTCTAGCAGGCCGAGAAGCTTCTTGTGGGCCACACCTTTTGGGATGAACTCGTCAACAGCATCAACCTGCCGAATAGAATCTCGAATTTTCTTATAGCGGTCCACCATTGCGAATGTCGAAGACCAACGGGTAACATTCCGTTTGACAGGTTTCAGGTCCGTGAATTTTAATAGTTCCGCAGCATTGCTCACGTGTCGTAGCTGCACCATCAGACTGTTAGCTGCAGCGAGCTCCGGCTCATAAGCAGCTAAGTAGCGATTCACCGCAAGGTTGTACCGGTGACTTGCACAGCCAACCAGTGGCAACTCCAACAACGTAGCGATCCGCTGATTGGTCGCGCAATTGTCGGCTACCAGAAAAGCCACCATAGAGATGTCCTTGTTATACAGCGCCAGCACGCGCTTGAACATCTCGATGTGCACTTCAGCATCTTGGCTGCCGTCCTCCAGCGGTGACAGCGACAGCAGTCGCTCACGGCGCTTGCCGTCTGCGTAGCAAACACCGTAGATACCGACGTAGTGCGTGGTACCGTGCGTCCATCCATCCCACATGACACCAAACAGCTTGCCCAACTCGCTTTCGATCAGCACACGAACGCTCTCGGAGCACTTCTTCATGTCTTCCTTCAACCTCTTGGACGAAACGGGCTTCCAGGACGACATGGACCTTGTGAGGTGGTTGTCGACCTCGGAGACGGGCAGGTGCCTCTCTACGACCCACTGAAGCCACTGATAGCGATGCTGAGTCGCCTCGGACACGAACCCAAAGTTGGACAGAGGGGCGTCCGTAGCCGCAGATGCGCTGTAGGTCTCGTTGAAGTCGGGGTGCGTCAGGTTGAGGTGGGACAACAGGTTCGAGTACCCGGTCCCGGACGGCTGCTTGCGGTAAGAACCGCAAAGCTGACAGCGGAAGTCGCGTTGGCCCTTGTCTTCGTAGAAGAATGCGCAGATATCACGGTTCGGAGCCATCGTGGTCAAATGAAAAGTGAGGGAGTGCTGTGAGGCTTCGGCTTGTGCTCGTGTCTGTGCCTGCCAGCCAACCACTTGAACGATTGGCGCGAAAGCTAGTTGCCTCTAACATATTGGTATAAACCGGTATTGTACTGATATTATTGGATCAATATCATATTATATTGACTTTGGACAGATTCAATAATAATAATTGTAGCCGGATAATACAGTAATTACGGGATTGATATTATTTTTTCCCACCCCTGCCTCGAAGACAGAAAGTTCTTCATCCCTGAAGTCCTCGCCACACTTGATTTTGACGAAACGCGTTGGCCGATGGATTTTATCAAAGAACCTTTAATCGTTGCCTGCGACTCCAACCCGAACATGCTGCGCCCTCGTCCTGCCAAGAGCCCGGAGGCAGAATTCAAACAAAGGAAGGTAAAGAGAGAATAAAGACAAGATCGAGCTCCTGCGCCGTGAGATCGTGCAACGGCCGAAACGAAAGGCAGGAATCTTGATGTATGCAGCTAAGAGCTCAGTGTGGAAAGGTATTGCGTCGAGGCAGCGCCGGGAGCGAGAACGAGCATTGAGTAGCAACGAAGAGCTTAAGAGGAGACTTATCGAGCAGCAACTGCTCGCCATTTCGCTTTCGAAACTACTGAGCGAACGGGTGAGTTTACCTGTCCCTCCTCCGACTACCGGTACTGCAGTGGTTAATCCTTAAGGTTAAATTGTGACAAGCTTGGATACTAAAGTGATCAAATTCGTTTGCATGAAAATGGTCTTGTTAAAGATTTTTTTAACGTGGCAAGAATCTATTAAACGAAGAAGGCAACGATGGTAGCGGCGACACCCACAGCCGAGTACATGGCCGGAGTCACAGCTGAAGCCGCACTAGACGACGACGAAGCAGCAGCGTCGCTCGAAGCGGCCGCGGTAGTGGAACCTGACGTGGTGGCATCCGCGTCAGTGGTCGTGGGCGAGCCCGCGTCCACAGTGCTGGCGCTAGATCCCGAGCCCGTGGTGGTGGACGTCGAGTTGGAGGTAGAAGAGCCGCAGGTGACGTCGGCCCACAGCGATTCATCCGACGTGGAGGACGAGTCGCCCGGGTGCGAGATGCCCTCGCTCCAGCGCACGACGGCGTTCGAGTCCTGCGCCCACTCGCAGCACGGGTCACCGAGCTCCTGGCCGTTGGTCTGGCCATCACCATCCGAGTCCTGCTGGCAGAATTCCGTCGTCCACGATTCACCGGCGCTAGCGAAGTCGAGGCCGAAGTCGTTGTTGGCACCTCCACCGTCGGGGTTCGTGTGGCCTAGGGCGGCCACACCGGACACGTTGTCACCGTTCGGCAAGCGAGCGACGTACGTCGGACGGGCGTTCGCGACGGCAATAGCGGTCGCAACCACAGCGATTGAGAAAGTAGCGCGGGACATCACAATGAAGAGATCGGAGTAAAGTGAGGACTGGGTGGTCGAACGCGATTCGGAGAATGAAGACTGACGTCGTGTGGCGGCATCCGAGCGGTGGAAATGTTAGCAAAGGAGTCGTTACCGGTATCTGCAGAAGAACCATGGGACACACAACGGAAGCTCTTAGGGATTTGTGTCGAGACATCGTGCTTTTTTAATCAAATTGGCAATCACAGATTGTGTCCCAGCCGGTCTTCACGGCTGATGATACCAGTCTGGTCAACCACGCTTGCCAGTTTTTTGCTGGTTGAAAAAATGATCGATTGGGCCTTCATATAGTCTCTATCCTATGGATACGAGTGTGGTATATATCCTATTTTAATACCACGAAATTCATGGCTCGCTGCTTTCCTGGCATGGGAGCATTTTGGTAGGGAGGGCTTGTGTTTTTATCGGAGTACCGGTACAGTACATGTGTTGCATCCGGAGCGCCAGCTGTATATTTGCACTACTTTCGAAAGAAGGATCACGTAAACGCTGCCCGCGAGAATACTCGGCAACGCCGAGCGAAGAAACTCCCCAAACTGTCGAAGCAACTGCTGCGAGGCAGTGTCCAACACCACCAGAATTATACTTTTTTCGATGAAACAGTCAAACCAGCTGGAGAACTTAAAAGCGAAGATTCCGGGGGTGTCAATATTGGCAATGTGGCAAGACCACCGGACTCGCCAGAATGGAGCTCACCATCCCGGTGGTCTTGCCCGCTTACAGCTTTACGGACCAGAGACCTTCGTAATCGTTTGCTGTTCGCGTTGGACACAAGATCGAGCCTCAACCTCAGCTTGAGGGGAATGGCGTTAGTGCACCCTTAGCTACAACAACACAGCAGGCTTGGAGCACCTTTAAGCCACTTGGGCGCCCTTAACTGCAAGCGTTAGGGCGCCCTAAAGCCTTGGGCGCCCTTATCGCTAAAAATAAATAACCGTATTTTAAAAAATTGATGCGAAGTATCACCATAAGCGTTATTGTATGAAGAAACGCATTAACACATAAGAAGAAGAAGACGAAAAGCACAAGTAGGAAAGGGAAAGCGATATATATATATTTATTGTTTAACAAAACCACGAATGGCTACAAGATTATTGTGGAATTAGCATCTTACTAACCTCTTGGTCCGTCTTCTGCGTTTCCGTCAATTTTTTCTCACTGTGTGGCACCAGCTTCATCGTGCACAGCAACAACCAGGCTAGTCTTAAGCCGCATCACGCTTACATAAGCTTCTGTCACCCGATGGCGTTCAAATCGATGGGTGTTGCGCAAGTGTGCGTACACAATACCCCGACCATTACTCCACAGCTTTTTAAATCAGGTTGTGAGGGCTTGTCGATCCACTTCGCGATAATTTCCTAAGGAAAAAGCTCTTTTGCATCGCAGGCACTGTGCCATTTCTCCAGTTACGACAGCAAATGAAATTTCCATCATCTTCCAGTTCTTTTCAGTAGCACTCCTGGTCTAGCGGCTCATAGAATTACACCTTCAGTACATGTACTGTCGGAAACTGTTGTCGTGGTGGGGAATTGGAAAGTGAATTGATGAATTCGACTAAGTGCACTATGTTGAGCTAGAGGAGCGTATACGCTAACAGAAACGCGATCTCCACAATAATAAACCCCCAGTGGTTCGAGCTTAAATTTATGGGCATAACCACAAAAGGTGTCTCTGATAGCCGCTGCTCTTGGTGGTTTAGGCCACCCAATAGCCAATGTCAGCGAAGAAAATGCGATGCAGCCGTCCATACTTTCTGCAATCATTCTGATTCCGAAATCAATCACGGCGTCGTTCAGCAATCCGCTGCTCCAGAGACAACGTCAAACAATACGATGGCCGTCGTGCTAATTCTGTATTTGCGACAGATTTCGCCGTGAAAGTGGCGCGTCTATTCAAAGACACGTGAGAAGGGAATTCATATACGTATAAAAGTTTAGAGTTATACATAAAAACGGTCTTCGTAGTAGTGTAACTTTACCTATCTCGTAGAGTATGGCATCTAGCGCCTCACTTGAATCGCTTAGATAGTCGAAGTGTCTTCGTCACTGCCATCGTTACCAGAGGAAGAACAAACGTCCAGCACAGTGACGCCGGGCGCGCCCTCGCTCTCGTCATCTTTAGCACTGGCGCCTGTGCCAGTGCTTAAGAACTCGTACGTGGATTTTTGTTGTGATCAACAAAACCACTGGCTATCAGACTCGGAATTATTTGAGAGTAACGGTACTTGATGGTAATTTATTTGGGAATATATTTCTCGTGGAATTTCTCACGGAACCTAAAATTTGTGAAAATATTATTAGGGCGCCGAGCGCCCTTATCGGTACTTTTTATGAAAAAAAGTTAAGGGACTACGGCTTGAGGGTTAAGCTACCTATGGTCGTATTATTATAGTACATGTCATTGCTTTGGCTCGCTATTTCTGATCTTCCTGCTGAGAACATAAAGGAAAGACGAATACTGTATGCAAGTGGGTTGTTCTTGTTAACGTTACCGTAAAGTCTACCTGCGACAGCTGCAACCACGCCGGCAGCGGAGTACAGTGCCGGAGTGACAACTGAAGCTGCATTCGACGAAGAAGAAGATGCTGCCGAAGCACTGGACGCAGACGAAGAAGAGGCGACGGCATCGGTCGCCGGAGTCGAGGTGTCCGTTGACGGAGCGGTGTACGCTCCAGCTTCCACGGTGCCGGCACTAGATCCCATCGTAGAACTTGCCGTGGTGCCGGTACTCGTCGAATTCTCTGAACCACAGCTGATATCGGCCCACAGCGACGGATCGGACATGGACGACGCGTTACCGGGGTGAGAGAGACCCTCCTTCCATTGGACAACGGCGTTCGAGCTCTCGACCCACTTTCGTCCACGATTTGTCAGCGCTCGCAAAGTCGAGGCCGAAGGCGTTGTTGGCACCTCCGCCTGCTGGGTTGACGTGGCCTAAAGCCGCAACGCCCGGAACGTTATCACCATTCGGGAGGAGAGCAACGTAGGTGGGGCGGGCGTTCACGACGCGTGCAGTAGTTGCAACCAGAGCAAGTGAGAGTGTAGAACGGGACATCTTAAACGTTGAAGGAGAACTGGAGTAGTGTGCAACTGGAGACGTGTTGGAAAATGAGAGCAGCATTGGTCGTAGGATCTGAGGCGGGGCCTGTACGCCATCAAGTATGACCGAACGGCTGGAGCTGTAGAAGAATGAACTCAAGCCCCAGTTGTATCCATTGCCGAAAGAAAGCATGGGCAATGACTGTCATTCATTAAGATATTCCTTGGACTCGAGTCGAGGCTTTGTTGGGATCACGATACCGCTCCAAAAGATTGCGCCCGCCCAGCTTCAGATGGTGAGCAAAAGTCGCATGGATAATGCCCGGAGTTCACGAACAGCGAGAAAAATCCATTGGTTTCCAGCTTCCGTCGACACCACTGTCCGACGCAATACTCGCAACTATTGTGCCGGAAAAGAAAGTGAAAAGAACTTCCAGATATTCACACGTACAGTGATTGACTACTCTACCGGCACAGTACAGTACATGTCGGAGTGATTACCGCAACCGTAAATTGAGACATTTATGGTCGTTTTAAAGACTTTATGGTTGCGTTACCCAAATTCATAAATTACCTGCGAAACTAAAATAAAAATGACGCTTCCGTCTTAGGTACGTATCTGTTCTTTTAAGTTCGATTCGTTTTAAATACGATCATTCTGAGCCTCCCATTTCAGAAATTGCGCGGGAGCGAGAAGAACGCGCGGCTGCGCCAGGAACACGAGCTCCACACCCGACGCTGACGCAACTGAAGACCCATGAGTCGTGCGCAGGACGCGGCCAAGCCTGGTACGTATTGCAGTACTTGCGCCTGACGCAGCAAAAGTTAGTTTGACCTTATGTGCGAATCCGTAGACTGGCGAGGACGTGCGAGGCTGCGTGTGACGGGGTCACACAGCACCTTGCGCAAGAGGAAGTTATCTTCCGAGAGTATACAAACTCTCAGTGAACGGCAGTTCACAGGTCCCCTCTTTAATTAAAGAGAGCGAAGTGACCCAAATAAGGTAGATTGTAAACTGAGTATATTTATAGGTAGATTAAGTTTGGGTTTAATACAAACTGTTAGTTACCTATAGAAATGCAATGTCATTTAACCAATGGTTGGCCTTGAACGACCTTGGTACCTTGTACCAAATATCTCGGAGTATGACGTGTCATACTCCTGAAGTGTGAAGTGTCACACTTCATGTAACCAGGGTACACTTAGGGCTACGTACCCCGTTACATCCTCCCCCACTTAGGTTCGGTTTACCGACCAATCAGAATGAAGAGGTGTTCGTCACAAACTCTCATTCTCAAAGTCGAAAACCATCGACTTGGCCGCGCGAGCGCGGCGGAGGCTCACTTCACAGTTAGAGCCTCGAGCAGCAACCTGTGCGCTCTTCGTCAAGGTCGCCACTTCGACCGTTAGCATGCCTCGTGGCACTACTAAGAGCGGTGCTAAGACACGCTCCAAGGCTGCAGCCGGTAAGGCGCAGGCCAAGAGCACTAAGCCTCACGGCAAAGGCTCTGCACTCAAATAGGCTACTCAGGTGGCCTCCGAGGCGATCAGTTCCTCGGGTGACGCGGCTGCGGACAAGCGCGCAAGCAGGCGTCGCAGTCCGTCGCCCTCGTCTTCAGACAACCGTTTGAACCCTCGGTTCGTAGAACGCGAGTTCAACTCGGGCAGTGAAGACGATGCCGAGTCCGAGAGCACTCAGGATGCTCCTGAGGGCTCTGTGGGAGGGCACAGCCCAGTGCCCCGTGAGCACAAAGAAGGCAGCGTGCAGTCGCCCGCTAGTGATCACGGTGATCACAGTCCTAGGACCTCTGTGCGCTCTGAGAGTCCGGCCGTTAAGGCTAAGGGCGCTCTCAAAGCCGGTGGCGATGAGGAAGAGAATCCTCGCAAACGTCTCTCGCTTGCCGAGGGTCTTGCGCGCGCTAAGGCCTCTAAAGCCGAAGGCGCCAAGCACTCAAAGAAGCGTACCGCCTCTAAGTCTCCACTCCGCGAGGAGAAGGAGACTCGACGCTCCTATCAGAGTCTCTTCGGCTCCTCGGATGAAGAGAAGGAGAAGGAGGAAGAAGAGGAAGAGGAGGGTGCCATTGTTGAGCCCCGGGAGGTATCGAATGACCTCGACCAGCAGCAGGAGGATTTCCAAGCTGCCCAGCGTGTGCGTGGGGGTTCGGTGGTGGCACCCGTCCGCCAGGGAGCTGCCATCAACTCAAGAGGGTATTGGCCTCCCGAGGAGAGCTCTGGGGCTGACCTCTTCTTAGAGCTTCTCGTCGCTCCTCGTGGCCTTGTGGGCGGCCACACTTCTAGGGGCATCTATGAACGAGCCCTTGTTCAGAAAGAACAGTTGTTCGTCGACAGCTTGGAGGCTGCTCGGTGTGTGCTTCTCGCGCAACACCGCATTCCCCTTAAGGACTTCACGACTTGTCGTAAGAAGCCCGAGACCCGGGGTGGTCTCTATCCTGTTTGGGGATACCCCTGGGTTATGCCCGAGAACTGTCCCACGTGGAGTTCTTGTAAGGACATGTTTTGGGCGTGGGTGGAGACTCTCAAGTACTCGCCCACGGAGTTATGGGAACTCCATGAAGATCAGCAGCTGTCCCACATCCTGGACCAGCGTGATCTTCGTGTGAGGTTTGCCCACATGATCAGCAAGCGTATGCTGCCAAGGGACATCCTGAAGCGCGCGGCTTCTAGCGCTCACGATGAGCGCGGGTACGGTATGTATTCATCGACCGTACCCCGTTCAGGCAAGAAGCCCCGGACTACTTATGAAGCTGCCGCCGCTTCTGTTCCCAGATTGCGACAGCCTTCGGGCAGTCAATCAGGAGCCGTTCAATCGGCTCCCACGAGTTCTCGGAGTGGGCATAACCCCTCCACTTCACGAAAAGCTGTCGCTTGCCGCGACACCGTTGCTCCTGGAGGATCCGCTTTACGTGGAAGTGGGCTTTTCCATTCCGGTCAAGCAGGGGCGGAGGTGCCCTCGTACGAGTACGAGTACTCGGCGCCTCCCGAGAGCCACTCTCATCCGAGTGCTCCGACTGCGGGTCCGACACAGGACCCTGAGGTTGACCGCCTCCGTCAACGTGTCCTCGTGCTTGAGATTGCACTTGGCCTTGGGACTGGCGGTAATGCTGCCGCCCAGGCCGGGAATCAGGGCGAGCTCGCTCGTCTTGCGGGCCGCCTGGACCTGGTGGAGCGAGGGGTCGCGAGCCTGCACCTGCGGGTGGATCGCCGGGCCTCTTCGTCCGATCTGGACGAGGCCTTTTGCATGATCCGACGGATCGAGGCTTTGTTGCCACGTCCAGAGCCGCCTGCGGCACACTCCCAGACGTACGCGTATGGTGCGTACCCGGCGTACTCAGCGTACTCGGCGTATGGCGCCGGGGTCCGTTCGTATGGAGCCCCTCCGGCGTACGGTCTTGACCGCAGCCTTGCCGTCCCGACCGAGACTTGGGTGCCTGCTCCGACGCCCTCGTCGACGACTGTGACCGGCCCTCGCTTCGAGGAGCTGGGTCAAGGGGGATCTGCGAGTCAGCAAACCCCTGCGGGTCAAAGTACCGCTTAAGACGTCCGACATAGAACGTCGGGTGCGTCGTCATTGACTTTGGAAGGTCGATGGTGTACGACGCACCATGTCTGGCCAGGACTGCAAAAGGTCCGATGAAGCAGTGCTTCAGTTTGCTGCTGCCGACAGAGCTAACAGTGTCTAGAGGTAGGTTCCTCGTGTCTAGCAACACTAAGTCACCAACCTCAAATATACTTAAGTTTCCGCTTCCTTGTTTGTCTGAGTACTCCTTTTGTTTATCTTGGGCCGCTGCCATGGCATCGCGGACCCTGCTGACAATGTTCAGCTTGGTATCCATAAAGGATTCCACCTGTTTCCGCAGCGAAACTGGCCTCACATCCGAGACCTGGGAGGAAAGGGCTTTCCGAGCCTCCCCCCCACTTAGAATAGAGGAGTCAGTGTCTCATCGAAGAGTGAGAGGCACTCTGGGGTGGCGGAAGCCGTTCAAGTAGAACGGCGTGAACCCCGTGGACGCGTGCACCGTGTTGTTGAGCGCAAACTCAACAACTGGAAGCTGCGACGACCACGTACGTGGCGCTGCCGCGCACACACTGCGCAGAGTGTCCTCGAGCACTCGATTGACGCGCTCTGTTTGGCCGTCTGTCTGCGGATGATCCGCAGTGGACATCTGCAGACGAGTTCCCAGTAAAGGGAACAGCGTTTTCCAAAACGCAGCAGTGAACCGCGGGTCTCGGTCCGAGACAATCGTCTCCGGGAGACCGTGATAGCGGAACACGCCATCGACGAACAACCTTGCGGTTTGTTTGCCCGTTACAGTGACGGGAACTGGAGCAAGATGTACCATCTTGCTCAGCCGACACACGAACACCAAAATTCCGGTGTTGCCGTGTCTGTCGGCGGGAAGCCCAAAGATGAAGTCAAGACTCATCGACTTCCAACAATCAGCCGGTACGGGCAGGCTCTGTAGTGGAGCCGAAGAGTGCCCTGCGGGTTTGACTCGCTGACATGTTTCGCATGTCTTGACGTATCGGGCGACCCACTTGTAGATGCACCTCCATGGCCGTCTTGCCTCCCTCGGCACGGCTATGGACGAAAATGTCGTCAAAGCACGTCTGTACGAAGGTACGCAAAGGGCGGAACAATTGCGTCACCAGGCGATTGAACGTCGCCGGGGCGTTAGACAAGCCCTGCGGCATGACGAGCCACTCCCAAAGCATGCCGCTTGGAGTGCTTACCGCGGTGAGCGGGATGTCACTGTGGTGTAGGGATTTCCAGATTCGACCATACGCCGCCCTACTTTAGGTCAAGAATCGGCTCGGTCTGATAACCCAGAGCTTAGGAGCCAAGGATCACGGTAAGTACTTGGCGATCTGTCCGGATATGCTATCCGGATAGCCGCTGAGCTCAACGGCCGCCTGAAGAGTCGGTAGAGATCCGAAACGACTACATTTCACTAGATATTTGTATGAGAAGCATAGGATTAAATAGGAGGAGCCGAA